GAGGGTGAGCTGGCATTCTGTCCAGGAAAGAAAGCAAAAGCTGCCTGATCGAGTTTAGCACAGGCTCCCCAATTCAAGCACTTTCCTTCCGGGAGTGTGGCTGACCACACCCTCACACGAGCTGCCTCCCCTTGGATTTCCAAGCCTGTAAGTCACAAAGCAAAGGGAAAGCGTACTTTTCACACTAATTTACACTTTATTTACCCATATGATGTTTTCTTTTTTTATCTTTTTTAATTTTATGTTTTATTTATTTCTGAGAGAGAGAGAGAGACAGCATGAACAGGGGAGGGTCAGAGAGAGAAGGAGACACAGAATCTGAAATAGGCTCCAGGCTCTGAGCTGTCAGCACAGAGCCCGATGCGGGGCTTGAACCCACGAAGCGTGAGATCATGACCTGAGCTGAAGTCAGACGCTTAACCGACTGAGCCACCCAGGTGCCCCCATATGATGTTTTCTAAGAACCACTCAACACTCCCCAAGTCCCAGGAAGCCCCTTTGTCTTCAAACACAAGTTATGCCTTCAAGGTTCTTAAAAAGGATTGAAGAAAAACTCAGAACTCTAAGTGCCAAGGACCTCCATGTTTGGCAACATTCTGCCCTCCCTAAGACTAATCAACATGCCTAAGGACGAGGGAACAAGTTCCAGAACTGTCTCAAAACCACAGGTCGGTATTTTTCACCACTTTCTACCTCCCACATTTTGAGCAAATAATTCTTTATTTGCTTACTTATTCTGATTGCATAAAGTTTTATTGAGAACCTGTTAGGAGCTCAGTACTGTAGAGATGGGTAAGAACCAAGCCAAGCCCTCTGGGGGCCCAGGATCTGCAGACACGGCCAATTAGTCAAACCCACTGTCCCCTTCTTCTTTCTGTGGACAGAAGATCCCTTCTGCCTGTGGGGAGTGTATTCCGGATGGTTTGGATAAAACCACCTTGCCCAACATGTCCAGGCATGAGTATGTGACTGAGGTCCAGCCATGAAACATGTGTCCTGTACCCAGAGTCACTGGCTCAGAGGGGATCCCAAGATCCTCGGATCTGAGCTGGGTCAGTCACATGGCTTTCCTCCTGGAAATGGAGAAGGAGACTTTCCTTCTGTAGGGGTTGGTCAGATGTGGGACGGGTTTGGGGTGTTGGTCTCCCTGTCCGTGAGATGGACAGAAGGGGAGCCTTGAGACCCCAAGAAGCCCCTGACAAAAGACCTAGTCTTGCCTGAAGCCAGGGTCAGAGTCGGGTCCACCCCTGGAATTTTCATGTATGGGAAGAAAAACTGCCTTCCTCTACCCCGTAAGCTAATGAGAAGAGGGCTTCTGGCATTTGAAACCCAAGTCCTGATTCAGTCTGTGAGACCTTTATCCTCACGGATGGAGCTTTGGAAAATCAGCGTCCTGACTCCCTTCAAGTGTTTACTTTCACACGTCATATGTGCTGAGAAACAGTTGATTCCTTCTGGAACACCATACACTTAGTTATGGGGACAAACTCCTGACGGGGCATGTGGAGCCTGAAACCATCCCCCTGACTTTCCTTCTCTTATTCGGCTACTCAAAATCCTGCTCTGCCTGAACCCATCTACTGATTATACCTTTTGGGGGTTGAATTATGTCCCCTCCCCACCCAAAAAGATATGTCAGAGTCCTGACCCCCAGTACTTTACAAGGTGACCTTATTTGGAGAGAGCATCTTTACAGAGGTCAGCAAGTTAAAATGAGGTCATTAGAGGGGCACCTGGGTGACTCAGTAGGTTGAGCATCTGACTCTTGATATCGGCTCAGGTCATGATCTCGCGGTTTGTGAGTTCAAGCCACGAGTCAGGCTCTGTGCTGACAGCTCGGGATCTGGAGCCTGCTTTGGACACTGTGGCTCCCTCTCTCTCTGCTCCTCCTCTTCCCACACTTTATCTCTCTCTCTGTCTCTTAAAAATAAATAACATTTAAAAAATTCAAAATGGTTACTTTTACATTATGTGAGTTTCACTTCATTTTTTTAAGAAAAGGCCTGCCCGGCATCTCCCCCAGGAATACTCGCCAACGTGGCCGTAAGCCCCGACTCCTGAGTGCAGATAACCTGGCACCAAATGCAAGCTGGGTACCCAAGAGCCGGCCTCCCAAGGACAAGAGGTCATGTGTGTCCAGGCCCCGCCCGACGGTCATTTTGACAAGATCCCTCCGAGAGGACGAAGCAGGAGGGCTGGGGCTCCTGGCAGAGGCAGTTTGGATGCCAGGTCCTCACTGTCCGTGGGACCATCAAACCCACAGCTGCAAGTGGTTCCAAAGGGGAGCGTATGGTGGTGCTGATTTCCTTTCACCCCTTTGCCTATAGCCCTGCCGCGTAAGGGCCCCATGTGCTGCACGCGGAAGCCCAGGAACCTCTCTGATCGGATGCTCTTTCTCCAGACAGCCCTGGGGCCAATTTGCAGCCTGATGGGAGCAGCGCTCAGAAAAGACAGTTGTCAGGAGCGCTGATGTTTTCAGTTTCCTGATAATCAACACGGGGCAGGTGCTGCAAGAGAAACCCCAGGCTTACTGAAACTCAGCAAGGGCGTGTTGCCGTCAGTTACAAGGAAAGACAGGCTAAGGCCAGCATGGCTGGACCCCCCCAGCCCAATGAGTGGAGAGGGGCTTCCCTGGGGGAAAGGATGCCGGCACACCTCTCTTGTTATACTGTGAGAGCTTGGGGGGGGGCAGTGGAAGTGTCCACTTTCTCTTGGAATCCCTGGGCCTGGCCCATCCTATGCGTCTGATGTACAAATGTACGAGTGAGGAACGAATGAACGGGTGGATGGATGGATAGGCTTCCCAATCTGGTTATTTAGGAAAGACTATTTACGAAAATGATAACACGTCTGGGGCCAGGAGACCTCTGAGAAGGAGCCCAGAGTGTGCTCAGCTGTTATTCCCTATCACCACGGCACAGCAAGACTAGAAGGCAGGGCAGAGGGGGTGGTGAGTGACAGCCACACCCCTGGGAGTGAGGACACTTACGGAACATTCCACCATCTCTGGGTCCCTTAGGGCCCTAGCTTATAGGGCTACCATAACAAAGTACCATAACCTAGGTGGCCTGGAACAAATTTACCCTCTCACAGTTGGGAAGCACAGAGGTCTGAAATCAGCTCAAGGCTCTAGGGGAGGGTCCTTTCTTGCCTCTTCCTAGCTTCTGGCAGTTGCTGGCAACCCCGGCGTGTAGCCACATCATGCCAATCTTGGCCCCTGTCACCCCATGGCCTTCTCCCTCTGTGTCTGTTTTCTCTTCCTAAGGACACCAGTCGTTGGATTTAGGGCCAACCCTAATCTTAGCCAATCACACCTGCAAAGACCTCTTTCCAAATAAGATCGCATCCTGAGGTTCCGGATGGACATGAATGTGGGGGGAAGGTCTTCAACCCTTGGACCTAGCCATGGAATGTCTTATACAAAGGCCCCTAGGGGAGGACCAGCCACCTTTCTGAACTGAGCTACTTCCATACAGTAAGAGGTAGGCTTCTTGCCATGTTACTGAACCCGGGGAAGGAGGGAAATCTGTGGCTCCCCATGTGACCTGCTCTCTCATCCCCAAATCTGAGGGTCCTCTGCACAAGGGGGAGACGTGAGAGGGAGGCGTCCTGGTTTCTGTAACAGTGGAGGTTTATGCCCGTCAGCAGGTCATAAGAGCAGCCAGTAGCCTACATGCTACATAACAGAGGACAAAACAAAACCAGGACAAGAAATGAAACATCATCTCTTTTGTCTTCCCATCATCCGTGGGGTCTGGTGACTTGAGATATGAGTTAGTCACAGAACCAAATGGTCCAACCAAGGGCAGTAGAAGAAGGAAGGGAAAGTGGGGGAAACGACCCTTGTCCTGCATTGAGCACATGCGGGCACTCTACAAATGGCTCTTGTTTAGTCTTCCTGGCGTCTACGCATCAGGGATGGAAGAGCAGGTGAACAATTATGATGGAGAAGCAGGGCAGCCTGCGTGCATTCCAAGCGAGCGGCTGAGTCCTTCTCCCGAACTCATGGCTTTGAAAGGGAAGGCTCCATCAAGCCAGGATGGGAGAAAGGAGAGGACAGGCGTTCATGGTCTTTATCTAAAAAAGAAACAGATATTTCAATCCTGCTCACTCCCCTCCCCCAACCCAGAAGTCCAAGAGACAGGAAGTCAGAGAAAGCCAGACAGGAAATGGGAAGCAGAGGAAAGGTCTACACAGGGAGAGCACAGTCTCAGCGGCATGTGGCAGGCCACTCTGAGAAAGAAAGGCAGCAAGACATGGATCCCCCTTTGTTGGGATGACCAGGCGGCTTAGCGACAGGAATGTGGGCTGTCAGGTCCGTGTGGCTCTATGTTACATGCAGCAAAGCCCCCTTCTTATCCCTAAACCTCAGCAATAGTTCCTGGTGTGAATAAGCGTTATTCTCAAATCTAGGGGATAGGGGACTAATGGGGTAAGCAGACCAGGCAGGGCGCTGGGAGAAGACATTGAAGCAGAGGGCAGAAAGGGACCGCCTGGAGAGTGCAGGCAACCACCCCAGGTAGCCCCAGAAATCCTGGGGGTCAGGAGGGGGAGGAAGACTCAGGACCTCTGATAGGTCCATGGGGAGGGCTTGGGTCATTTCACTGGGAAGTTTGCGGAAAGGGTAGAAGGACTTAGCCCCAATTCTAAAGAGGAAGGGGTTATCTCCACTTTAGACCCAAGATGAGCAAAGCACAGAGTATTTCCAGAAGCTGGCCAAGACCACAGGTGCTGAGGGATGATACAAGAGCATGAACCCAGGTCTGATCTAAGCCAGAGCTCATGACCTTTCCATCCACCCAGCTTCCCTGAAAGGAACACAAATTCTTTTTTTTTTTTTTTTTCCAGATTGGACAGGCCCAGGCAATGAGTAAGAGGAAGATAGGCTGCAGCTGGTACACAGGCATCCATCCACACGAGTTCCTCTTGTCTCATCAAAAAGAGGCTGGGGGACACAACCAGCTGACTCTGGTAGAGGAGGAACCTGCGGCGGAGGTTGTTGCAGCCAAGATTACCCGGCCCAGACCCCAGCCGAACTATCATCGTCAGAATGTCGGGCAAAGACTGTATTGAAATCTTTCCCTCGCGCATGGCACAGACCATCATGAAGGCTCGATTAAAAGGAGCACAGACAGGTCGAAACCTCCTGAAGAAAAAATCTGATGCCTTAACTCTTGGATTTCGACAAATCCTAAAGAAGATAATAGAGACTAAAATGCTGATGGGTGAAGTGATGAGAGAGGCTGCCTTTTCACTGGCCGAGGACAAGTTCATGGCAGGGGACTTCAGCACCACCATTATTCAAAATGTAAATAAAGCCCAAGTGAAGATTTGCGCTAAGAAAGATAATGTAGCAGGTGTTGCTTTGCCAGTGTTCGAACATTACCATGAAGGAACTGACAGTTATGAACTGACTGGTTTAGCCAGAGGTGGGGAACAATTGGCTAAATTAAAGAGGAATTATGCCAAAGCAGTGGAATTACTGGTGGAACTAGCTTCACTTCAGACGTCCTTTGTTACTTTGGATGAAGCTATTAAGATAACCAACAGGCGTGTAAATGCCATTGAACATGTCATCATTCCCCGGATCGAACGTACCCTTGCTTATATCATCACAGAGCTGGATGAGAGAGAGCGAGAAGAGTTCTATAGGTTAAAGAAAATACAAGAGAAGAAAAAGATTCTCAAGGAAAAATCCGAGAAGGACTTGGAGCAGCGGAGGGCAGCTGGAGAGGTGACAGAGCCTGCTAATCTTTTGGCTGAAGAAAAAGACAAGGATCTTCTGTTTGAATAGTTTACTGCTCTGGCTCTTTCATAAGCCCTAACATGGCACCATTTTATTTTATTTTATTTTATTTTATTTTTTTAATATATTTTTTTATTTATTTCTAGGAGAGAGAGAGACAGCGTGAGCAGGGGAGGGTCAGAGAGAGAGGGAGACACAGACTGAAACAGGCTCCAGGCTCTGAGCTGACAGTCAGCACAGAGCCCGACGCGGGGCTCGAACCCACAAACCACGAGATCATGACCTAAACGAAAGTCGGACGCTTAACCGACTAAGCCACCCAGGTGCCCCAACATGGCGCCATTTTAATTCACGGTGTGTAGGTTTGGTATGTGTGGCTATTTATTTTTTGGCCTAAGAATTTCACTTGTGGTAAAATTTGCTTGGATGTTGGTTATGGGGCTGCCTTTGCAAAATCATAATTCAGCAACCAATTTATCACATGAGATTTGTAGACCCTGCCCAGGAACCTGTAGAATTTACTCTGCAGGAGCTGTACCCTATTCCGTTCACATATGTTACAAGTGCTCTGCTTACCAAGCATATTAGGAAATTCCCCTTAGGAAACAGCAGTGGCCTCGGGCCAACTGTCGCTGTAGTGCCCTTTGTTTCTACCTGCTCCCCGAGATTGCTGCCGCCATCCTTGCGTTACCCGGGTACTGCCCTCAAGCTGCACGAAACCTTCACTATTTTTCCTGGCATGACAGGTCTCTGTCATGGGAGTTCTGCCAATTTTAATGTGACTATGGTATAAACAGTAAAATGATTTAAAAGCGAAAAAACCAAACAAAACAAAACAAAAAAGAGGCTGGGGGCACCTGGGGGGCTCAGTCCGTTAAGTGTCCAACTTCGGCTCAGGTCATGATCTCACAGTTGGTAGGCTCAAGCCCTGCATCAAGCTCTCTGCTCTCAGCATGGAGTCTGCTTCATATCCTCTGTCCCTCTCTCTCTCTACCCCTTCCCCACTCATACTCTTTCTCTTTCTAAAATAAATAAAGTTAAAAAAAATAAAAGTAAAGAAATAAAAAAGAATAAAATAGTTTTGAATTAAAAAAAATTAATGGTGGTAAAATACATACATAATTCACCATCCTGAGCATTTTTAAGGGCTCGTTTGAGAAGTATTAAGTATATCTGCATTGTTGTGAGACAGATCTCTAGAACCTTCTCATCTTGCAAAACTGAAACTGTAACCATAAACAACTTGCTCCATTTTCTTTTAGTTCTGAGATTTAAAAATCCTATTAATAGACTATGGCATGTGGTAATTCATTTTCCAGTTCAAAAGTTTCTGGAAACATTACTCACAATGAACTTGAAAAGAATAACCACCTTCCTCTGCCCTGACCTGAAGGTTCACAGGAGGATGGTAAGCACAGAACAAAGAGAGCAGAAGCAAAGGTAAATGAATTTTTGATAAACAAGAGTTCCGGGTAAAACAGACTCCGGGGGATTGCATTTAGGCCACAAGGTCACCTTGGGCCTGAGCGGCTGAGGAGGTTGGGTTACCTCTGCCTTTGACCTCATGGACTTGCACAAAGGGACTGTGCTACCACAGGGCAGTGAGCAAGGTTCACTTACCCACGTAGACTTGGGGGCCTCTGTGCTGCCCCAGTCCCTCAGATGTGACCACCACCAGGCGGCATCACAGAAGCCAGCCCCCCTCTGGGCAGACCGCTAAGTAGCTTTTAGAAGAAGGATGGCCCTAACTATTTGGAGTTGGAAAAGAGAGCCGTTCCAAGTGTGTACTTGAAACCCATCTAGAATTCACACTGTAACTCTGTCACTGTGTTTAAATGGCCCCATGGACCCATCTTCAAACACACACACATCCCAAGAATAACTTCACAGGGAAATATTTATTTTATGAGACTCTCACAGGCTGCCCTTTGCCCCTTACCAACAACAGATGAATTCCTGCCCACAGAGAGAGCCCGGGACACTGCTCTTTAAAGCAGGCAGACTGAGGCTGTGCTAAGGGACCCAGGAGAGCAAGCCTCCTGGCCTCCGGGACACCCGCCTGCATCTGTGTCTACAGACCCTAAATGTTGCAGGAAGCCCCGAGGCTCTGGGCGGCAGCACACGGGAACTATGATTGTAACTCCAGCACAAACCAGCCCCGTAGGAGGCCTGGGACCCAAACCAGGCTGGCCTTGAACATCCTCTCTGGATCAGCCTTGAAAACGTACATACCCTTCACACCAGCGATTCTCCTATTTATCGTAATCTAATCTAAGCACCAATCCTACAAACAACATTACAAGAATGATCCTGTAATTTACACAATAACCTTGGACGCACACAAGGACCCAGAAACAAAGACATTCCTCGCAGTTCTTTATGAACCAAAGATACTGGGAAGAACTGAACATCTAACTGCAAGGCAGACTAAAAACAGGACTTGGTCTACAGACTAGATGAATGTATTCATCAGACAGATCGTCTCTAATAGTTTCGACGACACAAAAAGAGTGTTACAATCTAGTAAGTACAAACATATATAAAAAATCTGTCACGACCTCCGAGTGTGAGCAGATCGGTAGGGAGACCCATCTTCCTCACCAATACAGGGTTTGTATTCTAGAATTTCATCTTTGGCAAAGCAAGGACACGAATATTATGGGATTGAAAGAGAGGCAATAAATAACATAAATATGCTTTGAAAACACAGCAAATTTAAGTTCAGAGTGGGGGGCTGGAAGTCTACGGAAATGGCCTGATTGGACACTTTGGCACCTGAGAACATCAGCACGGGGGGTTCACGTCCCCCAAGCAGGGGAACCCCCAGGAGCGACAAGCCCTCACTCTCTTGCTGGACAAGAATGATATGGAAGGCTATAACCCGAAGCTGTATTCCTTGGACCCTAGGGACTGCATGCAGGTGGACAGGGATGTGGAAATTCCTACAGGCCCTAATGAAGAGCCTTAGGAATGTTCTAGGAGCTAACCTCCTTCCCTGGAGATGTCCAGTCAGGATGAAGGGGCTGCGATCTACAAGGCTCCACTTGGGCACAAACTCACAAGTTCTGAAAGGCCAGACAGAGCCAGTTATGGACCAGCCCAGATCAGCCTGTCCAGAGCAGGCACCAGCAAGGATCCAGAGGACACGTGTGAATTCAAGCCCCCTTCTTTCCACCACCCTGAGGTCACACCCAGACATCATTATACAAAAACAGGCCATGGGGAATACAGCCTCAAGGAACAAGCATTTACCCAAAGACACAGGCACCCAAGCCAAGTGACTTAAACAGAAAGAGGCGATGTACATGGTCATGCTTAAAATTAACTTCTGCCACTTTCTCTACCCAGAGGAGCGGGACCACTCAAAGACAACGAAACATGCCACCGAATATTCTCTCTAGTTTTTCTTTTGCTTGCTTCTGAGTGGTGGTGTTGAATGAATTTTCAACCTTGAAACAGGCACCATCTTAAAATCCCAGTTGGCAAAACCACAGTTGCCAGGTCACTTTACTACTACCCCCCCCCCCCGCCCCGCCGGTGCCAAATATCCGTGGGGTTTCGGAGGGGGATTCTGGGAGGTTTTTCTGTACTTCTTTCTACTTTGCCCTATTTTCTAAATATTCTGCAATAGAGGTGGCACTTTTTTTTACACAAGAAAGAGATTGCTTGGTATGTCTGTAGTCCCCTTGGCCAGGCACCTGTTCTCCGCCAGCACCCCCACCTGCAGCGAATACGGACGAGCAAGCGCACCTGGCAGGGGGCAGCCAAGGATCTCCATCCTCATACAGATGCTCCCGTTGTCGAACCAGGACTGTGGGTTGATGCGGATGTAGCGGGCCACCATGGGGACGGGCAGCTCGTTGAGAACGGGGATCTCCTTCTCACTGTTTCCTTCAAATATCTATTTATGCACAAGGGGAAAAGGGAGAGCCATTCAGAGGTTGACTATCAAGCAATAAGAGGGTCAGTGATTTATTCATTCCGTAAGACTTTACTGAGAAACGCCCAATATGCGCTGGGCATTGAGGGGAGAAAAGAAATGAATCAGGTGTAGACCCTGCCCTCAGCGTGCCCCCAGTCTACGGGGCCAGTGGGGAGAAAAGGAAGAGGTCCTACTTAGATAATCTGGGCAAAAATCTATTAGAGCCAGGACAGGGTGATGGCCACAGAACTCGGGGGTTTCAGAAGGAAAGGACCAGACAGCACTTCAGGGAGCAGGTGGCATTTGAACTGGCCCCAAAGGAAAACTATTTAGATCTGCAGGGATGGGAGGGATTCTAGATAAAAGCAGCAGCCACGACTGGAGAAGCCCAGAGGTGGGATTCAGGAGGCGCAGAGTAGCTGGCTCGCTGCCACTGGAACACAGGAGGAGTGTGTGCAGGGGGGAAGAACGAGAAAGAAGGTTGAAATTGGAGGCTGCCGTCAGACTGTGTAAGATTCTGGACACCACATGAGGAAGGATTGTACTTGAGAACCTGAGCAAGAGGGTGGCATGATCAGAACTGGCGAATCCAGAGCAGATCATGGAGCGGAGAGATGGGGGTCATTAAAGAGGCTGGGGAAGTGCTATAACTCAGTAGCCCTGAGGGACCCCGGCATCCTGCACGTGCCACCTATCTCTCCAGGCTGACCTGGGAACTGTGGAAGACACCACGTCCCAGCAGCTGGGAATCTTACATTAGCTCTAAATGTGCCACTGGGCGCTCAGCTTCAGGGCACGGGCGAGAGGGGCATTACCCATCATCGGCGTGCGTGGACACGGAATCAGCAGACATTGAGGGGGCATACACTGCTTCTCTTTGCACACACCCACACAGCCGGACACCAAGGGCATACAGAGGGAAGATGAAACTCACCATGTCTCCAGATCCATTCTTTACAGTGACCCATGTATGGCTGTCGTTGCTCACCATGACCTTGTAAGAGGCGACCCAGTCACTCCTAAGAGAAAATAAAACATCGTTGGGACTACATATTGTAAACCATCCACCTAGTCCACGCAGAGGTGTAGCAGTAAGGTAAGCAGTAAGCAGTAGCTACGTGCAGTTAGCCCCTGAATAACACAGGTTTGAACAGCA